GGTTCATTGATACGTAATAAATCTAACTTCGTACGCACTCCCCCAACATTTTGAAATAAGCCATTTATATGTTTACATTTAAAATTGTATAAATTATTTCTAGTGTTTACAAAAGTATTGTCTTTGATAGCTGCACCTTTGGCGGTATTCAGTTGTTTTGAAGGACGGTAAGTATACCTTTGACGTATCCGATGTAAATATCGGCTTCACCATTTTTCTTACGTGTTGAAAGTCGCTCACGTAAATTACTGTAGAAATTGCGTTGAAATGGTGTCTAATCAACCGTTATGTGTGTATATTTTTAATATTGGGAAGTTACGAAGGCGATTTTTTAATTTGATTTTTAAACCGACGTCAGATTTCGCACTGCATGTGAATTTAATTGAACGGAGTTTTGATCCTGTTTTACCCAAACGAACAATTCGTGAAGTAGTAACAGGGGCACCGATCTAAACATCATTAATAACTAAAGAATCATCGCCATTGTTGTTCGATTCAGGGACGTTGAAGGTAATGATATTTTTTCACATGATTGCAATTTGTTAGTCATGTCCGAATAGGGTGCATTGCCATTGGTTGACGAATTTGATTCTAATTCTACAATTCTGGATTCCAGTAAACATAATTTTACACGAAAATGAGTATTTTTGGCAACTAAGTTATCTATTTTATTATTTGCAAATATTAAGAGGTCAATCATTTTATCGATTTTTAAGAGCACTCCAAGTTTAAAGGGGAACACTATATTGCCACAAGAAATATTTTGGGGAGGATCCAGAAATAGGGACACAATTACTGTGAGTTGTATTTTTTTTACAGTCACCAAAAGTAACAGAATCCGTATTTCGATTAATTGCGGAAGAGCAAATATAACACGTGAGAGCCATTACGAAAAATCCAACCAGCAATAATGGACACACGCAAAATAAAAAATAACGGAATGTCTTACCTTTATGACAAATAGAATTTTACTGGTATTATTATATTAATTAAAAAAAGAAAAATATTATTTTTTAAAATTTAAAATTGAATAATGTAGTTACTGTTTTATCGAATAGACGAATGAAGGAATATAAAAACGATTAAATTTATATTTCCATGTGTGAGTTTATGTTTTGAGTGAACAACTATCCACCTAATCAATAAACATACGCTGTAATCATTCGTTGTAGTTAAAACATTTATTTATATTACATATTAATATAAGCTAGGGGTTATTTTCAACGTTTAACAATATCATTTTTTGTAAATAAATACATTTTATGTGCTGAAGTTTGAAGATTAACCGTTAAAATTATAATATGGTTCGATGATAATATTGGCATATGTTCTATGCATTGTAAACGCAAAATAGGTAATAATGTAAATAATGTCTAGTGTCTGTAATTCAAATGCCGCAGACTTGTAGAAGTACTTCGAGTTCAAACACAGATATTATTTTATGTATTTTAGTATTTCACTAAAAATTAATATGCGAGTATGAATAAAAGAAGGTACTTTTAAAAATTATTATTTGACGTTGTTCATACCATTTGTATAATATTATGGTTTAATATACCAGAACAAGTTAAGATTTAACGTGATGTGATGCAATGCATTTTAATGCAATACAGGGTGTCCCACGAATGTATATTCAATGGAAAATATCCTAGGATAATAAAGATAATCAAATTCTATTTTTTGATATTACTCGTAAGGATAAGGACACATTTGTATATCTACATATATTTATACTTAAATTAAATTGTTATGTTTTGGTTAAACAACTAAAAAAAAAAACTTTTTATTTTATTATTTTCAAAAAAAATTAAAGCTAGCTATTTTAAACAATTTATATTTTACTGAAAATGATGTTGATATTTCAAATTTTTGTTTTTATTAAATTCGTAACTTTTGTTAATATTTTAAAATTCAAGAAAAGTACCTATAGTTTTGACCAAGTAGTAATCATATTCATTAATTTATTATTCTTATAATGTCTAATTGAGTACACTTTTAGATTCTGAGTGTAGCGTGGAAGCTATTGGTTTTACTAAGATGTTTATTTCTTTTTTCTCTTTTTTTCTAGTAAACTTGCTCCGATCTTTACGAACTGTAACTTTTCTGAAGGCTCAAGTTGTCTAGATAGTACTTTAAAGATGTCATTTTTTGATTATCAACGCCATATTTTAAATAAAAGCACTTAAGTGAGAAAAACGTAGGAAAACGTACAATTTCACGATTTCATTATTTTATAAAAACTCAGACAACGTTTTCTATAAAAAATGATTTAATCGATAAATCACAAAATACCTTTTTTTTGTCTTTTTGATTTAATTTCTTATGGCCAAAACTTTTGAACCACTTTTGAGCTTTTAAGGAATTTTAATTTTTAGGAGTTTTTTGCGGTAATTCGGTTATCAATACACGTAGAAACTTGAAACTTGGTCATAATACTTATATTAGACTTTCCTAGACGTGGTAAAATTTCCAAAATTATTGAACGATTTTTTTTCCTTTTTGCTGATTTATCGTTTCTTACAGATATAAATGAAATAAACTTATGTATCCTACCTTCCTAACTTCTCACCTACTACAGTGGCCGCTCCCTACCCCAGTATCAGCTCTTTTTTTTCTCTGAAAAAACTGATTTAAAATCATGAATTTAATGAAAATAAAAAGTTGATACGTTAAAATGTACAGAAGAAAAAACTATATACATTTTATACAAATCTTTAAAAAATAAAACATTTTTAAATTAAAGTACCAGTAGCAATTTCTATAGAAATATTTACTTAAGATTCAAATATTTATAGTGAAATAATTCCACTTAAATACTTTATAAGTCTGCTGCATGGCAAATTATAGTGGTTTGATAAATACTATCATTAAACAAATTTAATAAATGGTTTTATTTTAATCTATTGTGCTTCAATCGTGCAGTAATTTTAGTAATTATACACTAGTGTTAAAGTGTTGATTTAACTAATAAATATAGATATTAATTTATTTAATAATGTAATTCTATACCTATTATTTCCTTACCAGTCGATTTAAGTTAATTAATTATGCAGACAAGATTTTCCCAGTTTTATTTTCGAATCCAAATTTAAATTGTTCCGGAGATACGGTTATTTAGAATATGGATCGTTTAACTAGTCTTCAAAATAATGTAAGCAACATCTAATGTATATATTTTCTTTATTAAGAATCATCCTGTAGGTATTTGTTAGGATGTAATTTAAATGAACTATATAGGAAGGTACTATAATATTTGCCGACTATACATAGGTAAAACAAATTACTTTTTAGACTGCAATTTGTAATACGGTTTTTTTTTTTACAATTTGTACACAAACTGAAGTATCTACTACTAGTTTTACAGTGATATTATAATAAGTATGTCTTTTTTTATTTTCACAATAAAAAAAAATGATTCCAGAGGCGGAAACGTACTCAATAAGTTTCTTTCAGTAACTATGTACAATATACGCATATAATTGCAATTAATATTGTAGACTAAATTACTTTAGTCATAATTTCTCATTAAAAATAAAATAAATTAAACACAGTATGATTATTTGTTTAGGTAACACTGAATATTGCGGCCGGATGATATTCTATTTAAACTCGTGGTCATCTAGTCGTAATATTTGTTGTGATTGAAAAAAATGATTACACTATACAACAAATTAAACATGGATCTATAGAGACGTAATTATTATGATTTTTCCGGATTGTAGTTTCTATAGAGAAACTTAATGAAAAATATTAAAAAGTAAATATTATTTTGTCGAGGGTAATTTTTTCCCAATAAAAACTTATACCAGCTTTTGGAGTTGAAAAGTTGCCTATCTATGGAATCCTATAAATGTTAAACGGGTATTAACGGATGTTTCATAATCCGTAACAATGTTTAAGTTTATTTTTGGAAGATATGTACTTGCCGGTGAAGGCTTCAAGTCTTTGAAGTTGTAAAGATGGTTAGTTTAAGTTTTCGTAGAACTTTAAATTGGCGGAAAGCGATTCCTTTTCATTAATATCAATAGGCACTTGGATTAGAAACTTTTGTTCTTAACAATATCTAAATGTATTATTGAATAAACATATATGTATATAAATTATTATTATTATGTTTATTTCATTATATTATCAAATTAAAATGTATACATTTAAATGATTGTCCATTAATAAAATAAAGGTATGTAAGCCTTAACAAAATAAAATCAAACTTATTTAAATTTGAAAAAAATATATGAAAAGGAACGAAAGAGCTGTAAACGTGTATTACAGATAAAGAAAAGAAATTCTCTGAATGAAATATTACAGGAAACAGAAAAGGATAGATCGTTAGGTAGCATAAAGATTTTTTTCAAAACTATCAAAAAGTATAGCTTATTTAACTTATTTAACTCAAGCCTAAAATTTGTAAAGAATAGTGTGGGGACAATACTGATAGAGTCAGAAAAGAAAATAATAAGATGGAAAGAATATTTTGCTAATCTGTTAAATGGACAATACCTCCCTCCCAATCTTATAGAAAATACATGTATTGAGCGAGTGGAACCATTGGTAAATGAAATATATAAAGAAGAAGTAAAAGAAGCTATAAGGAACCTTAAAAATTGGAAAGCTCTGGATTCCGACATATTTTATTGGAACTTATAAAGTATGATGGAGAAGATATGCATAATTTTATTTTTAAGTTAGGTCATATGGAAAAAACAAGAGGAAATAATGCCAGATAGTTGGAATAAAGTAATAATTATAATATATTACTTCATAAGAAGGGTGATCGAAAATAGAACTGAATGCAACAATTACACAGGAATATCCCTATTAAGTACAGTAAGTTTTCCAAAGTTCTATTAGACCTTCTAATACCATATGCAGAAGAATTCTTGGGCGAATATCAGTGTGTAGTAGTGAAAAAATATGAGTACTGTCAGGATATATGGTATATATCTGTATATTTTAAGAAAGCCTACAACAGCATTTATAGAAAAAGTTTTTTCAACGCCATGAAAGAATTTGGTTTCCCAAAGGAGCTTATAAATCTAACTAAACTGTGTATGGAGAATGTAAAGTACCAGATGAGAATGAATGGTATTGAATCAGAAGCTTTTATTGTTGAAACGGGACTAAAACAGAGTGACGTATTGTTCCTATTATTGTTTAATTTGGCCCTGGAGAAGGCGGTAAGACGAAGTAAGAGGAATAAGCTAAGGTCAACGTCACATAAAAGTACTAGGGTTTGCAGACGATCTAAACATCATGTCAGGTGGGATGATTTGATGATGAAGACAAAACCTCTTGGAGAGTAATAGTATCTTGTAAAACTTATAAAAGATTTTATTGTGGGTAATACCGTACTTACTGTCTCAGTCTAACTAACGGCAACTTGGCAAAATTATGAAATTTAAAAATCAAAGTGTGGCGTTTAGGTAAAAATTAGAGTTTCAACACAAGTAACACGATTTAGAGAGAAGTACATTATCAAGGGCACCACGTTGCTTCTTTTATAAAATATTATCGAACAAAGGAGTTATAACTATTATTAAAAAAAAAAAATTAAAAACTTTTAAAATGACTGTAACTGTTGTTGAGATTATTTTAGATATAATAATAATAATAATAATGATATTTTAGAATAACGTGTTATCCTCAAAAATATTATTTTCTTTGAATTTTATTATTTGTACCGAGATTCTAATTTAAACTTAAACCCTAGAATATCTATTCTAAGTTTCATTAATTTCGTTACGATGCCTGTTAGTTGGATTGAGACAGTAAATACGGGTATCACGTCCCTCTTAAATCGTGATTCAATTTGAAAAGTAGAATCAGTTTTTAAATAAAATAATTTTTTGTTGATTTCAATATTTAAAACAAATTTCACCTGTATTGACCATATTGAAAGTACTTAGCTATTTTTTATTTTAACTTTGAGCAAAACTAACATGCTATTGTTTTTTAATTATGTATTGTATGCATACCTGTCAACTGTTATTAAAAAATGATATTTTGCATATTACCGTATACAAATCAAATTTCAAAGGCGTATTATAACTTATAAGTGGCGAGAGTTATTCTTAACTAAATAAATTACCATAACTAATTTCGATAAAAATAGTTGTTCTTATTTTTATTTTTTTAAGTATTGACAATTTAATAAATACCAATGTTTATTTCATAAAATTACCTTTTTAAATTTCGTATTTGTGATTTATGTATTCTTTCTATAGAAATATACATACATAATTATAATATTTTCTCCTTTATTTATGATTCGTTGTAAAATTATTTTGCTTTTGCATCGTATCAATCAAAATGTAAAACTATGCATCAAAAATTGAATTTAGATTGGATGGGGCATATGAGTATTATACATATAGAACCGCTCGAAATGTGATTATTTTGAGCCAATTTTTCTCTCAGTATGCCATAGAAGATAATGCGGTTTATATACTACGCCTCTCCGTAAAATAGTAAGCCCATTTAGTGGATCAACTTGTCACGAAAATACGTTACATTTATCACTCAGAAAACTGTTTGGAAAAAAGATCATTTCGTTATTGTAAAACTCTTGATTTTTGTCCAAATGAGAATTAAAAAAAAAAAAAAACTATTTTGTTACAGTGAAGTCTTAAATCTATCATCATAATAATTATTAAGTCAAACTGACATTAGGTTATATGTTTATATTTGATTTTTAAATAAAAAAAAATTAATTTAAGATCACGTAGGTATAGATTTCTTCTTAGATTTTTTTTAGAGTTTTGGTGATGTGGATGCAATTTCTAAAAAGAGAACTCAACATTTGCTTCTCTTTTAGACGCTATAGCATTTAAAAGATAGGTAGGAAGTGCAAAACAATAACATAGTGTAAATAGTAATTATTATTTTAATAAATAGTGATACAAAACACGATGTAGAATAACTTTTTACAAAAATTTATTTAAAATTAATGTGATATTCTGTATATTATATTTTATAAAACTGAACATATCCTGAGTATTTATACCTAAGTATTGATGTTATAAACATAGAGTTAAATAATGTAGCTGTATACAAAAAATGATTAAATAACGTACAAAAATAATAAATAAAAACCATTATAATTTAAAAAAAATGTATAACATATAATATTTATATGTTAATATTGAATATGCATAAAAGATTAGTGATATAAAATAATAATTACACTTTTTCGTTGTTAAAACCGCACAAATAAAATAATAAATTAAACGGAACAAGAGATAAATACACGAAAAGGCGTACGTTGTATTTTGCGATTTGTCGAGGTTAAAGTGAATTGAAACACTATAATTTTAGTCTAAAATGTAGATAATAACATTGTCGAGGAATACCCATGACTTCTGATAAGGTAAAAATTGAATATAACATGTAAAGAAATAAATTTATAAATTTAATAAGTACAATACTGTTGGATTATTTAATATTTACAATTGTGTGCCAGCTCAAAGGTAAATCACAAAATATCAGTTCGAGACGTTATATCTTTGAACAGAATGCTAACGATTTTTTTAGATAAATTAAGTAATCAGGTAAACTTTACCTGGTCAATTAAACATGATTATATTCTCTTATTTCTCTATTTTACTTCCGGTTCGGTATTAATATATTTAAAAACGGTCCGGTCTCGGTGTTTTTTAGTCGAGAAAAAAACCCGGTTCGGATTAGTCCCATGGTTTATTTCATTAGACTGGTACAGTCCTGGTCTTAGTTCACAACTCTGGTCTGTTTCGGTCTATAAACGTACATAATTGAAGTTAAGGGGCATGTAACCTGTAATTATAAGTGAATTCGTAAATGTACAATATGATACCTACTATATGATTAACAAATACGTACAAACTCATAGTTTGGTCGAAACCATCTTTGATCTTTCTATAGATTGACATTAGTAGCTGGCCTGAGGATGGCGTGGGTTCGAACTATACTTACCTCAAACGCCCGAGCATTAAAAGTCTCAATGTTAACAGAAATAAAAACATCTGTTACTGCAAACTCAGATTCAGCAGAGAAATTTTGCGATTTTCCGTAGAAACGATATTATTATGAACAGGCATTTGTAAATGAACAGAACCGAAAAAATCATACCTTCATTCTACATTTAGATATTTTTGCTAAGTTTTTTTTCTGTATATTCAATTCAAATTTGTATTTACCAATTATCTATAATATCAATAATACTGGAAGCATTTAAAATATTAGTGTTGTGGTTTATATAATTTATTATTGCAAATTAAAGTATCATAAAATTATGAAGTTGAATTAGCAGCTCGTTGTTCGGTTAACTAAAATAAAGGTGACTAAGTAAATATACTAAAAATAATGAGTAGATACATAACATAATATATAATATATATACTCGAATATTAAATCAATGTAGAACACCGGACAATTTGAACCATGAATACAAATAAATAATTTTTTGGGCATTTTTTATTAAATTTATCATTACAAATAATTATTTTTAATAGGTTAGAAACAATAGACGGGGAAAATGTTAAGCCCCTCTACATATATTGCTCTTTCAAATATTTTTTTAAATTTTTTAGGGTTTTATGATATTTTTAATTGCTTGTTTGTGAATTTTAAGTACATATATTACTACGGATTATATAATAGAAACGGATAAATCCGTTTCTTACTAATAATATTACACAATATTGATAAAAAAAAAAAACAAATATGAATTGAAACATAATTAATTATAATTTTATTATAGATAGGTAGGTATTATAAATATTAAAAATATATATATATATATAATAATCAGGACTCGGATTTTATAGCATTGAAAATAACTGAAATATGCGCTATAATATGACCAAAAAACATGAAAAATGTAATGAAAATGAAAAATGAAAGTCATTCTGCTATTTTTGTTGGTATCCTATAATAATTAGCAAATGCTATAAAATCTGAGCCATATAAAGCCATACACAACGCTATATGAAGTAAATAAGTAAATTATTATTACAAACAAAAATCTGTCTGTAATAATTGAAAAACAAATAAAAACAAGATAAACATCGAATTACCAAAACAGACAAGAGTCGATAAATAATCTGAAAATCAAAGCAACAAAAATGACGGAAAATGTTCGAAAAACCATTTTAACAAGGAAATATTGTGGAGTTTAAAATTTCAGATGTGGATTGGGCACGGAGTGATTTCCGATGTGAGTTTGTTGGCAAAATGTCAAGTAATAATATATTAAGTCATATTATGTCATATTGATATCTAATATAATCTAAATCATTAGTATTTACAAATATATTTCAGTGAAATATAATTTCTATGAAATCGGTATGACTGAAAGAAAACTGCAACAGCTCTATATAGCAGAAATTTATTTACGATTTGTAAAGAAAAATGTGTACGGATCAAAATTTAATTTCACGCTGCGTTGCAAGGAATGTATTGGATTTACATTGATGCGTGTTTTTTTTATTTTTAAAGTACCTGCTTTTTGTGTATGTCTATAAATAATTTGTCTACCAGAGGTCTTGTTTCAAGCATCAACTTCAAGGGTGGTTTCTAGTAGACAATTTCGTCTAGATTTTGTTTTACTTTTTGGTAAGTTAATTAACAATAATCGTAGAGTCCTGAAATTTTCATAGAGTTCTGACATTAGTTTGTTTGGTCTTTCTAGATTCAAAACATTCTGAATACTTTTGAGCTATTTATAACAATTTGAAATTTTTTAATTTGTTCGTTTTTATTTGGATAATAATGTTTGGCTTCTCAACAATACTCGAAAATTGTACACAAAGTCCAAATTTGCTTATAAGATACTATAAACATTTTATAATCCATCTAATATCCATCATTACAATTTTGTTTTTAAACGTTTAAGTTCAATTGTTAACGAAATATTAAAAATGATGGCATTTCAAAATACAGCTAAAGATTTATCTTTATGTATAGATATGCATTAAATGGAGGTTTGTAATTTGCACTATAGTAAATAGTAAAAAATAGTGTCTGTAATTAACACTAAAATAAGTATTTATGTATTGGACCTATCGACGAGTATTCGATATTTTATCAATTACCTCATTGACGTCAGGATTAATAATAATTTTTCGGGATTCGTACGTTGTACTATCTGCGCCTTACCTAGTAACCGTATCGGTACGTCCGATCCATCGTTATTACTTATTAGTTACTACTACTAGTGTAGAAAATAAGACGATTGTCCGTGATGAAAATTCGCACATAAATCACGATGAGAAACACACGTTTATAAATTGATTCAATTAGGTATAAATAAAAAAAGGCACAAGGAACA